GTAATTTCTCAAACCACATCTGCACCTTGCATAATACCCCTTTAAACGTTCACGGCTTGCCCCAAAGAATCCTAGGAACTGGAGCTTGTTAAGGACAGGGAAAGTTGTTAGGAGACCCCCTATTCCCCTCAAAGAACTACAGTTCCCAGAACGGTTTAACAACCAGTTCCTCTTCCCAGGGAACTCTGGGAATTGTAGCTCTAGATGGGCCAGGGGCCTGATCCAGTGGGCTCTTCTTGTGTTCTTAACCAGAAGGCATTTCCACGTATTCAGGGATGCTTCCACTCAACCCCAAGGTGGGTGAGGGATGAACGAACACCTGTGGGATCTTTCCCCCACAACCCTGCTCTTTGGGAGAGCCCATCTCCAGGATGGCCCCTCACCCGGCCACACTTTCCTTCCCTCCTATCAATCTGCTGGATGAAGATGAGTCGTCATACCAGCTAATGCTAATGGCAGAGCTGCCTGCTGCCATAGGGACTGACTGGAGTCATCCAGAGATGGTGCCAGGATCGCACTGAACACGCTGGGTGTCCTTAAAGAGGTACCAGTGGAGGAAAGAGCACTGCTGGGCACTTGGAGTCTGGGAAAGGAAAGGCAGCAGTCCTGCTCCAAAGGGCAAGCAAAGGTCCCAGATGCAGACTCCAACAGTTCCTCCTGAAAGATCCAGGAAGCTGGGGGTGGGGGACCCTCGAGGTCTGCTGCCAGCCAGAGTACGCAAAGCTGGGCCAGGTGAACCAAAAATGACAAGTCTCACCTGGTGTTTTCCAGTCGCAGAGAAGATTATTACAACCTCCAGCAGGTGGCCACAAGAATGGAGCTGGGAGGAACATAGCCAGGGCTTGCTGGATCAGGCCAAGGGCCCATCTGCTCCAGCATCCTCGTCTCACAGGGGCCAGTCAGATGCTCTTGGGGGAAGCAGCTCTCCCTCCTGTGGCTTCCAGCAACTGGCATTCAGAAGCAATGCTGCCTCTGACAGGGAGGCAAAGCAGAGCCATTGTGGCTAGCGGCCCCTGGTAGCCCTCTCCTCCTCCATGAATTTGTCCATCCTCTTTTAAAGCCATGCAAGTTTGGGGCCATCCCTGCCTTCTGTGGAAGGGAGTTCCATAATTTAACTCGTATTTCATTTTGTCAGCCCTGAGTCTTCCAACATTCAGCTTCAAGGCCACAAGTTTTGGTGTTAGGAGAGAGGGAAACAAATTTCTCTCTCTCCAATTCTCCATGCCATGATAAATTTCTATCATGTTCTTTTTACTCACCTTCTCTTTAGATGAAAATGTCCCAGATGCTGCAACCTTTCTGTTGCACAAGTATCCTTCAGTGCTGAATTGTTCAAATGGAAATAGATCAGCCTTCCCCAATTATTGTTGGGCTACTTTGGCTTGTTGAAACATACCTGTGAAATGCAAGCTTCCTCTGGTTTTCAATGCTATGGATGAATGGATGGTGCCCTTTGGATTATCAGTTGCATTTTATTTGTAGTCTTGTGATTTTATAGTTTTCTTGTTTTAACTTGTACACTGCCTTGAGAATAATTGCAGTAAATAGTGTATATACTTTAATAAAATAGTAACCAACCTCACAGGTGTGGGAATGTTATAGATACTAGGAGCGGATATATTGATTAAATCTTATCCTTCCTAACTCACGCTAGTCATACAGCAGAATTCATTCCCCAATATATAACAGGAAGCTAGTTTGCATCTTCGTTTGAATCTCTTTACTTATGCAATCCAATCTGGCATGCCCAGATTGGAGTATATTCCTGGCAAGACCCCTTTGATTCCCTCTTAAAAGAAATACAGACACAAGTCTTCCTTATAAGTAATGAAAAGTTTACTCCCATTCAGTTCACAGATGGATCCATGAAGGCAGACTTTAGCTTGTAGTTACAGATATAGTGTGGCTTACATCCTTGTAAGGATGGGCCCATGTGCCGCTGGCAGAGAGTCCAGGAGAAGAAAAGGCATCAAAAGAGGAGGATGGCCGCGTGACTGGACCTTTTGTAGGATCTGCAAGGGTCACGCCCACCTACCTGGTCACATGCAGGGGGAGGATGCTCCAGACCAGGTGGAACAGGAAGTTCAACTGGCTGGATCAACACCCCCCTGTCTGTGTCCACTCTAGGCAAACAGGAAGTGACGTACTTAACTGCTTATGTTACATCCCACAACAGGGTTGTTGTGAGGACAAATGGAAGGAGGAACCATAGGGGTGCATAGAATGGAGATCTGGATTTGCCAGAATATCTCTGGTTGATTTTCAAGGATTTCTGATAACAGAAACATTGTGAGATTCCACTCCCCCCCCCAACATAAACCTTTGAAATGAAGAAAGTGTGGAGTAACCAAGACCTAGAAGTGATTTTTTCTGTGAGAAATGTGAGCTCTACTAATAGAATCATAGAATTGTGGAGTTGGAAGGGTCCCTGAGGGTCATTTAGTCCAGCTCCCTGCAATGCAGGAATCTCAGCTAAAGCACCCATGACAGGTGGCCATCAAACCTCGGCTTAGGAAACCTTCAAGGAAGGAAAGCCCATGATCTTCCTAGGGAGACCATTCCACTGGCAAACAGCTCTTCCCGTCAGAACATTTTTCTGAATGTTCAGTCAGAATTTCTTTTCTTGTAACTTGAATCCACTGGTTTGGTTCCTACCCTCTGAAGCAGCAGAAATCAAGGTTGCTCGTCTTCCAAGGAACAGCTCTTCCTTGGCTCAGAATTCAAAGCATTAGTCATTTGCCCCAGACTGGGTTGGTGAGTCTTGGGGTCTAAACACAAGGTAGTTCCCACAAATCTCATGTCTTCCAGTCTGGATGTGCATTGCCTTAGATGCCTTGTTCTCTCTCTCTCTCTCTCTCTCTCCCATAAATAAATACAAATCCAGGACTAGTCTCTACCTCTCGGCTTGGTTAAAGCCCCTCTCCTCCCCTCTGCCCCCTCTGGGCTGTAGTGAGTATTATTTTAGAAATTTAAACCCTCCTTGCCTGCACATCTCCCAACAGAGACTGTCTTTAATGGGCTTACCTTCCACCTTTCCCTCTCTCTCTCTCTCATCAATTCTTGATAGTGCTGCAACATTAATAGCTTTCCAGGGCCCTCTTAATATGCCCAGGGACATAAAGTGGAGCCTAATCAACACATTTTAGGCAGAATTGCCCACATCCTGGTCCGGGTGCCATAAAAAACGGGTACCCATAGAAGCCTCTGTAATTAAGGCTTCCCTCCTAGCAAATCCATTTATAACGCTGAAGCTTCCCGTGTGCCTGAGCTTTTAGGCTGTTTTAACTCCTGCAGCCCAGGCGACAGTCTTCAATTACACAGCTGTGGATAATGGATGCTTCAGTGAGGGGGGTGGGGAGAGAGGCTCACAGCTATTCTGTTTCCCAGAAATGATAAATGAAAATAGATGCATTTCCTTTTTGCCCCCATTTTGCAAAAATGAAATAAAATAAAGCCAGACACACAGCTAGTTGCAATCCTCTCTTTGCCTTGAATTTCCACACAGATAATAAAAATGTGGGGGGCACTGAAAATGGGGGGGGGGAAGGAAGATGGGGGCTGGGCCTCCCACAATCCTCTTTGCCTGCAATAAGAGATAAAAGTGGGGGAAATTAGGGGCTGTGTTGATGAGTATAATCAAGTAAATCATAGGCTTGACGAGGGGAGGGCTCTGAACCCCCTTTCCTTTTCACCTGTGACAAGTCAAGGAGGCTTTTCTGCTAAATATTTTGCCCTCTCCTTAGCGTTGGCTCCCTCCCCCCCAAACGCAAGCCTGTGATGGGGGATTCTTCGACATTTGGTGGGGGGGGGAGGCAGTGGGATTTCAGTCCAGGTGGGCAGAACTCCTGCAGTTTCTGGGAAGGCCCAGCTGCCCCCAACTCAGCCTTCTTGATCCCTTGTCCCCTGCATTGGAGGCAACAAAGCAGAGAGACAAGGAGACAAGGCACTGGGCCCTTTCTGCCAGGTCAGGCTTTTGGTACATTGAGCCGAGTATTGCCAGCTCTGACCGGCAGCATTGGGGACTTTTTAGAGAAAAGGCAAGTGAGAGGAAGCATGATGGAAGTTTATAAAAGTTATGATGGCACGGAGAAAGCGGAGAAAGAAGAGTTTTCTCCCTCTTTCGTAACCTCCAAGGAAGGAGTTCCTCACGAAGCACCTGAGGGCCACCAACTGGGATGGCTTTTTAAAGGGAGAAGGAGAGCGCTCTCAATGGCTATGGTCACACTGCACATTTTAAGCACTGGTGCCTCTTTAAGCAGCCATGGCTTCCCCTGAAGAATTCTGGAGCTGGAGTTTGTTAAGGGTCCTACAATTTGTTAGGAATTCCCCTTTTCCCCTCAGAGAGCTACAGTTCCCAAAGTGCTTTAGGAATCGGTCCTTCTTCGCAGGGGATTCTGGAAATTGCAGCTCTGTGGGTGGAAGAGGGCACCTCCTAACAACTAAAAGGTAAAGGACCGCTGGACGGTTACGGTAAGTAAAGTCAAAGGCGACTATGGGGTGCGGCACTCATCTTGCTTCAGGCTGAGGGAGCCAGCATTTGTCCACAGACAGCTTTCCGGGTCATGTGGCCCACATGACTAAACCGCTTCTGGCGCAACGAAACACCGTGACGGAAACCAGAGCAGCACACAGAAACGCCATTTACCTTCCCGCCACAGCGGTACCTATTTATCTACTTGCACTGGCATGCTTTCAAACTGCTAGGTTGGCAGGAGCTAGGCCAGAGCAACGGGAGCTCACTCTGTCACAAACCGCTGACCTTCTGATTGGCAAACCCAAGAGGCTCAGTAGTTTAGACCGCAGCGCCACCCAACACCCATAACAAATTCCCATAATTATTTGGGGGAAGCCATGGCTCTTTAAAGGGGCATCTTAGGGCTTTAACTGTGGTGCAAATGCAGCCTTCGCCATAATGGCTGGGTGCTGCTCCATTATTGGAGGTGGGGTGCCTCCTCGGAGTAACACTTGCTGGGGATCACGAGTGGGAATAGTGCTGGGAAGGGGCCCTGGCTCAGTGGCAGAGTCCCTGCCTGGCATGCAGAAGGTCCCAGGTTCAATCCCCGCTGGCATCTCTTGCCTGGACTCCTGGAGAGCGGCTGCCAGACTGTGCTGCCAGTACTGTGCTCAATGGCCCAATGGTCTGATGCCGCACAAGGCAGATTCAGTCCCGCTTGGGGGCTTCCCTTGGGGGCGCCTGGTCAGTCACTCTGAGAGGAGGAGGCTGGACTCGTTGGGTCCCTTTGGTCTGGCCCAGCAGCCAGGCTTCCCTTAGTGTTCTTGGGCATGGAGAGCAATTGTCAAAACTGTGTTCAAACTCAGGCGCCAGCAAGTAAAAACCCGACCATTCTGTGCCAAGGAAATCCTGAAGTGTGTAGCTCATTAGCTGCTGTTTGGCCTTATTACTTCTTCTTCCAATAATCGTTTTTTCCAGAACTGCCAATGTTTTCCCATTCCCATCTGGAATTTAGGCAATAGTATGGCTGTCTGAAAACAGGCGAGATCCCAGCAGGAATCCTGCCAGGCTCTTCCTCTCCCTCCCTCTCTTTCTCTCTCCTGCTGGTTTTCCTTTTGTCACCACCTCCCCCCTCAACAAAGGTGCCTTCCCCAGGAGGAAGAAAGTTCAGTCAGCCCATGCTAAAATATACATGGCTTCCTGCTCTGTATAAATATTCAATTGAAGGAATGAAATGCCACAAGAGCAACACAAGAATGGCATTAGTGCTATTTGGGTCAAATGCGCCACGCAGGGGAATTCTGACTTCGAGGAGCCTTGGGATTCAGGGGGAGCTTGAGACTCTCCTCTCGAGGAGACCTCTGAATGAAGCAAACTGGTAGTCGGCTGTGATCAGGCTGTAGGTCCATTTGTTCTGGCTCGAAAACCCAGCACTAGGCTGGAAAGAAGTCCTTCTTCACTCAGCGCATAGTTAAACCATGGAACTCCTTCCCACAGGAGGCAGTGATGGCCATTGACCTGGAGGGCTGCAAAAGAGGAGTGGACAAATTCTTGGAGGGGGAGAGGCCTGTCCATAGCTACTGGCTTAGCCTCCACGTTTGTGGAAACCACAGGAGCGGAGAGGGCTCCTGCTTGTGTACGGATCCTGCTTGTGGATTCCTCATCATGGGCGTTTTGTTGGCCACCGTGAGAACAGGGCCTGGACTAGATCCAGCAGTTGAGCTCTTCCTTTGTTCTTAGGAGCTGCTGCAACAACTGTGTGCTAGTCCTGTGCTGTGTCTGCTTTCTGAGCCAACCCTAGGAAGCTGCTCTGGGTGAGGGTGGGGGGGTCTTCATTTCAGACAGAAAGGGCCTGAGAGTTTCTCAAGAAATGCTTTTCAAGGGCAAAAGAAATTCAGTAGATCTAGGCTGTGTGTGGACTACGTAGAAAAACCAATTGCTTCTGGAATAAAATGCTGTGTGCATACGCACCCTGAGCCTGGGGCTACAACCTCCATTTCCCTGAGAGTCAGACCCGCTGAGCCTGGTGGAGAGCCCTTCTGAGTAGACAGGTGCAGAGGACTGTGCCTGGCAGCGCTCAGTGCTGTGATCAAGAAGATGTGAGGTATTGCCAGTATTTAAAATAAGCTATTGTCTTTCCCATTGTGGATTTCCATTGCCTAGTCGCATTTTGTGTGTGTGTAAAGGTTGGCCTTTTTATTGATCCCTCTGATTTATTTTATCCCTTGTGACTTGTCTCTTATTCTATAGTTTTCCTTGTTCTTGGTGTTGTTGAAATCTGGATGCTGAAATAGGCCAGCTGTTTTGAAATGTTCTAAGCCACCTTGAGTGTCCCCTTTTTTCATTCTTAATGGAGAGGTGGGGTATGCATAGTTTGAAAGAAAAATAGGCACATCTTGCCCACTCTTTCTCAATCCAAACTAGGTGAGTGTCCATCAGATCTCAGCCTTTCCTAATAAGCATTCATGGCAGAGGAGGCGAAAGGAGGCAGATTTTGTTGGTCAGGGTGGCAGGGTGGCTCTTCCAGGAACTCTGCACACATAATAATCAAGAGCCACCTTCAAAGTCTGGGTGGGACTCCCCCTTGTTTAATGGCTGAAACTTCAAAGCCATCTCACCCTCATCTCCACCAAGCCGCAGTCAAAGCATCTCGCAGAGCTCCGCTCCCCATTAAGGATCAAAGTCCTGCAGCAGCAAGTGATTGCTTCAGTGCCCGGAGAACTTGTGAAAGCCGGATGCCCTAAAACAGGGGGCTTTTGCCTCCCACCCTTAAAACAGAAGGGCTACCAAATGGCACACATTTGGACACCCCGGGGTCTGTGGCCTGCTTGGGCTAGCACTGCAGGGAGCAGCCAGGTCAACTTTGATGGCCCTGCAACTTAAGAGAAGGTGCTGGGGATTAAACCTGTTTACAGGCTGGGGGGTCAGCTGCTTTCAATGGATGGAGGATGGAGGAGGGATCCAGATCTTTTCCATAAAATGCAGCAACTGCCCTCTGAGCCATGGGCTTCTTGCAAGAGCTGAAAAGATGTGTGGCCCCCTCTGTCAGGCGAAGCAAAGGTTGCAAACCGTCCTACAACGAGCCCAGCCTCACTGGCCCTTGATGAAACAGGGGAAAGGGTAAGGAGGCCGAGACGGACAGCCACTTTTGCACCACCCTCCAACATGGCACATGAAAATAGGGATGGTCCATCACTTTAGAGTAGAAGGTCCCTATTTTCAAGCGCAATGTTGGACATCAGAAGAGCCCGCTGGATCAGGCCAATGGAGGCCCATCTAGGCCAGCCTCCTGCTCTCGCCATGGCCAACCTCAAGGAGGCTTTGAGCAAAAGAGCTCAAGGGAGGCTGGCCTTCATGACCTCTCCTTATAGATCTTCTTCGGCCCTTGGCTAATTAGCATTCAGTGTCCTTTCGTGTCTATGTGTGTTGATGGGGTGTTATTTGTTTTATGGGGTGTGGGTGAACTGGCCTGAGATCTTCGGAAGAAGGGCGGTATTGAATTAATAAATGAGGTGAAGCATAGCCATTATGGCTAGTAGCATGGCTAGTAGCCTCATCTTCTGTGAATTTGCCTAATCCTCGTTTAAAGCCATCCCAGTTGGTGGCCCTGCCTGCCTCCTGTGCCAGGGAGTGCCATAGTCTGACTCTGCACTGCTTGAAAAAGGACTTTCATCTGCCCTGAATCTTCCAACATTCAGCTTCACTGGATTTCCATGAGTTCCAGCATTATGGGAGGGGAAGAAAAACATATTTCAATCAAATTCCTCCATGATATGCAGTTTCATAACTTCTAGAATGTTGCCTCTTACTCAGCAGCGGAGCATATGCCTGCGCTGCCCAGGGCGGGCGCATGAGGCATGCCCCCGAGGGGGCAGAAGAGGCCCTCCCACGCCCCACAGTTTATTTATTTATTTTTTAAGAATATTTATTCCAATTTTAAAATTACAAGAAAAATATAGAAAAGAAAAAGAGAAAAAAACCAAAAAAACCCACGTACATCTTACAAAAAACAGACAGTAAAAAAAGGAATAAAAAAGACAAAAAATCACAATAGAAAATGACAAAAATCAAATTAGACCTTTACAACCATCTTCCCATTTACTTGTTTCCATGACTTCCTCTCACCTCCCTGTTGTATTCTAGTTTAGATCGTATCTCCAGCAAATCCTTCTAACCTTCTTTTCTTTTACTTATTTTAACATTCTAAAGTATTTAATTCTCCTCTATCCTCCTTTTACACTTCATATTTACTTATTCCATTATACCCTGTCTGCCAATACGGTCTAATATTCTTCTCCAACCTTTTCTAACATTCTTTTATATTACAGTGTTTCTGAAGATATATTTTAAATTTTTTTCAGTCCCACAGTTTAGGGTAGGAGAGGGGTGGGGAAGCTGCTGCTCACCCTCTTCCTGCTCTCTGCCGCCGGGTCAGACATGCGGAGCTTCTGCAGCCAGGTGCGAGGCGCCACCGCCACAGAGTGCGCACAGCAGCGCTGCCGCCGACTCTCCTGCTCTCTGCCGCCAGGTCAGACCTGACCCGGCAATAGGTACTGCGGCTGGGGGTGCCTTGCCATGGCTGAGGAGGGCTGCTCTCTGCCATCGGGTCAGATGAGCTGCTGCTGCCAGGCATGCGATGTGCCACGGCCGAGGAAGGTGGGCAGCAGCGCTGCCACCCACTTGCAGCCACATTTTGTTGCATTTGTTGACTGAGCTAAAAAGTTTCAATATGTATTATGTGGACTTGTTGAGGTTAATTAATTGTCAGACGAAGGTATGAAACGCATTTTAAATATTTTTTTTCAAAAAAAAGTGTCGTGAGCCCCAAATTTTTTATTTTATTTTAAAAACACATATTTTTGCCATTTTGTCACCCCCTGAGTGATGACAGCCAGGCGGCCCACACCCACTGCACCCCCTTCCTACGGCGGTGCTCTTACTCACCTTTCTCTAAACCAAAGAGACCCAAATGCTGCAACCTTTCTTCAATGCATTTTGGGGCCCAGGGCAGGTTGGTGCACCTGCCCCCCCCCGGCTGTTTCATGTACAAAAGCTGACGGGCACTTTTAACCTTACGTCTGCCCTGGCACCAGGACGGCATCTTCCGTGGTATCTGAGGGCAGCAGAACCAGCTCATTTTGGAGGTGGAAGGCAGCCCAGGGGGCGGAAGGCAGCTCTGCCATGGCAAATCCAGCTTGCCTTCCCAGCCTATGATGGCTCCTGGATGAGAGTTCTTGTGTCTGTACTAGCCAGGCAGGGCACCCTTTTGCTAAAACAGCCGTGCACCTGGGGCCAGGATTGAGATGTTCCTCTGCTAGTGATGCATCTGGGTAACCTTGCACCACGAGGCCCTGGATGCATCTCTGTCTAATTACTGCAGCCTGACCTGATGGAAATCAGTCCCTAGGTGATCAATGCAGAGAACGCCATCCAAAAGGGGAAGTGCTATAATGGTGTTTAAATTGTTTTCAAGGCAAAGTTTAATTGGGACTGTGCACAAGGGCATTGTGCTAGTTGCAATGAGATAATTGAGCACCTCAAGGAGCCTTCAGTGTACACGGACAGCCTCAGAGATCAATTACTCTCTCCTTGAGTTGCCCCATGCCCCATCCCCCCCCC